GAACACGCATGCAGGCGCAGGGTGAGACACACACGCAGAATCCGACGAGAGCTGTGCTTCCATCCCAAACTACAAATGTTAACTTACTTGGAAAAAAGATTATCACAGAAAACATATGCGAAAAAAAGCACCATTTCCATCCTTCATGTTCAAGACAACCAAATTGTCAGTTCATAGGAAACTGGTGAAAAGTATCACTAATGAAAAATTAAAGGCACAATATGTAAGATTTTTTAAAGACACTTTAATATGCTATGCGTTTTAATAGACAGGTGACGACCGCACTGAGTAACATTATAACAGAACGTTCAAATGCATCTAGTATGATAAAACAGCGCTGCTTTACCCCACACACGCACGACCGGAAGGAGAGGAAGCGGTCGATTGCTGTAATAATGTGTTTTTTTCCCCCATGTAATTACTGAGTTGTGGCTCAAAGTGTGCAGGCAAAATGCAGTAAAATACGCTGCTGTGTTATTTTGCGCTCTGATGCCTGATGTTTGGGAATGCAATCATGTGAGACCAATGAGATTTTTTTTTTTCGCATTGAGGAATTTATTCAGTAAATGGATTTCTATCATAGTTTATGTGCATGTCTTCTTATTAAACACACAATTATGCACCACATGTATTTTTTATGCACATTTATACATTTCCATCCAGTGTTTTCAAAGTGATGTTCCAAAGTGAATTCGGAACAGCGTTATTATTATTGACTAAAACTAAAATGGTTAAAAAAAAAAGTATGTTACTTGAAATAAAGTAAACATTAATTGAAATAAAATATAACTTATTTCAGCTACAATGAAAAAATTGGTGAAGAAACCATTTTCGTTCAGAAACTGCTACTAAATTTCACAAACAGTTACAAAGAAATGGCAAGTAGAAAATAAATGAAAAATTAATAAAATATTGTTTTCTTGTAAAACATACTCCTATAGTTTTTACAGTGTAGTTACTAAGGCAAAATTTCTCATTTTCGTTTAGTTTAACTAGAAGTACTAAAATAACTAACACTAAAACTTGAAATAAAATTAAATAGACATATTTCCAAAAGCATCAACTAATAAAAATGACAAAATCATACAACAAAATAACTAAAATCACTAAAATAAGAATTAAAAAAATAAAACTAATTCAAAATACAAATGAAACTATAATAATATGTGACCATGGACCACAAAACCAGTCATAAGGGTCAATTTTTCGAAATCGGGATGTATACATCATCTGAAAGTTAAATAAATAAGTTTTCCATTGATGTATGGTTTGTTAGGATAGGACAATATTTGGCTGAGGAACATGATCTTTACTTAATATCCTAATGATTTTTGGCATAAAAGAAAAATCTATAATTTTGACCCAAACAATGTATTTTTGGCTATTGCTACAAATATACCCCAGCGACTTAAGACTGCTTTTGTGCTCCAGGGTCACAAATAGTATTGACACTCAAATACCATTGATTCTGAACGTTAAGATTCTTTTTCCTCTTCTGGTTCCTCAGCGTCAGTGAAAGGAGCTCCTCAGCTGTCCATGTTGACCCTTTTCAGGAGCATCGTGGCCCAGGAGGGTGTGGTGGGACTCTATCGAGGCATCGCGCCCAACTTCCTCAAGGTCATCCCGGCGGTCAGCATCTCCTACGTCGTCTACGAGCACATGAGGAAAGTACTGGGAGTGGGAACCTGAGAGAGAGAGAAAGACAGGTCATGTGTGTGTAGAAAAAATACAATCATATCCTTTTTTTGTTGAAAGATGGACAAGAAAGTTCAAAGACTTTTTTATTTAAGCCTACAATATATTCGATCACTGGAGTGATGTTCACCAAAAACAGTGGATGTGAGGAAGAACGACGAACTGAATCCAAACACTGAATTATGCAGAATCTAAGAGGTGCTGTTCTGACCCTTTCCTGAATTACTGAGGTTCATGATGTGCTCTTCATGTGTGTTGTTGGTCAACAGGGCCCTGATATTCAGATATACAGGGTACGGCCCACTGGATGCGGTAAAATGAACGCTTGCGTGTGGGAGACTGTGTGAGCATGTGCTGTACTGTACTCTGTGTGTGTGTGTTTGTGTGTGTGTGTGTGTTTAACCCAGTGCACACTACTGAACTCCAAATGGGAATGGACAATAAACTAACTTCCTCCCTTTGAACTTACAGTACAATTGAAAGTGCCTCTGTTATGAGAAACTTGTATGTTTTATCAGCTGTGGTCCAGTAATACGCCTCCTCTACTGTGGTGTGCTCCAAAATCAACATCCTAACTCGAGTTTAAAGGAATAGCTTGCCCAAAAAAGAATAATTGCTCAAAATATATTCACCCTCAGGCCATTCAAGATGTAAATGAGTTTGTTTGTTCATTATAACAGATTTGGAGAAATTTAGCATTACATCACTTGCTCTACAGTGAATGGGTGCCGTCAGAATGAGAGTCCAAACAGCTGATAAAAACATCACAGTAATCCACACCACTCCAGTCCATCAGTTAATGTCTTGTGAAGTAAAAATCTGTGTGTTTGTTAAAAACAAATCCTTTTTTTTTTTACCTTTTAAACTGTTGCTAAACGACAGCGAAAATACAAGTACATAATAACGCTTCCTCCAGTGAAAAGTGGTCTGATTTGAATCAGGAGAGAAATCTGCACAGATCAAGCACCGTTTACAAGCCAAAACAGCTCTAAACAAATAAGTGTGGATTTTGATGTGAGAGGACAACAGAGGATGGACTTTATCACTGGAGGAAGAGTTATTGTGGATTATGGACTCGTATTTTGACCAGAAGTGACAGTTTAAAGTTAAAATGTCTTAATGATGGATTTGTTTGTTACAAACAGCTTTTCGCTTCACAAGACATTAACTGATGGACTGGAGTGGATTATTGTGATGTTTTTATCAGCTGTTTGGACTCTCATTCTGACGGCACCCATTCACTGCAGAGCATCCACTGGTGAGCAAGTGATGCAATGCTACATTTCTCCAAATCTGTCGTGATGAGGAAACAGACTCGTCTACATCTTGGATGACCTGAGAGTGAGTACATTTTCAGCACGTTTTCATTTTTGGGTGAACTAATTCTTTAACTGATTCTAAAATCCTGCACTGCGTCTCAATTTGCATAATTATGCAACCTAAATGGTGTCAAAACACAAGGGCTCACACTCATGAAACACATTTCTGTGTAAATTATCTTATGAAAATGTATTTACAAATATATTAATAGTGCTTGTGTTTCATGAATAAGACCTTCACATTAGCACGCCAAATGGCATATTTTTTCAGTGATTTTCTTAAAAGCATGCATGCACGTTTTTTTATTTCAGCTAATGTTGCCCCCAAACCAGTGTAAAGTTTGTGACGGTTTTCTTTCAACTGTTTCAGGTAAAGAAAAGTATCGGAGAGTGCAAGGCAGAAGTTGCCACAGCATTTTTTAAGTGTTCTGTATGTGATCTTTAGCTAGATGCTAACGCTAACAAGTGGTATTGATAAACAATTAATGACCCAACACTGGCATACTACAAACTCAGAAGTACTTTTACTGTGTGCTTTCAGTGTGTAGTGTAGGTATCTGAATTGGGAAGCAGCCTTGGAGTTCAGTTTATATGCTGTCATCCTCAGTGCATGAGGTACTGTAGCCTGCGGTTTGGAGCAGAAAGCCTTATGGACTCACGGATGGGAGAAAGAGTATTTGGTTTGTGATTTTTGACTCGTATAACAAAGCAAAAAAAAAACTTTTTGATTGAGTCACTTCTAGGTCAATGTGCTCTGTATTTTATCACTGACTGAGGTGAAATTCAGACAGACTGTTTGTATGTGTTACAATAAAATAAAGATTCCAATACGGAATCTGCGCCCACAGGTTTCCATAGAATTCAAACATCATTTGTTCACTAAATTCTACAGAAGCTCAAGTCTCAAAATTGGATTTTTGTTTTTAGGTTGTCCATTAGCACATCCATATGCTACTGCACTACTAAATGTTCACAACACAAACTTTTAGCAGATATATGTATTCAAATGTTCCAGTCATTCTCTTCTGGGAAAACAGACCAAAAATATTGATGACATCATCCTGCACTCACAGGAGTGTATCCAATCAAGTGCTCTCTAGAATGAGAAAGCCCCTCCCCCTGATTCAGCTGTGACAAACTAAGGACAGCTATTTAACAAAAAATAGTAATTTACTAAAATAATTATGCTTTCAGCTTCCAATAAAAGCTAGTTTAAAATATTTACCAAGTTTACATCCAGTCTGCAAAATTTCCCCACAATTTGTGTGGAAAATGTGTTTTAAAAAAAAAAAATTTTTTTTTTTAGCAGATTTCGTTTGGGGCTCCTAATTTCCAGTGGTTTTGTATGCAGACATTATTATTGGTCTTATTTTGATGTTAACAAAAATAATAATAATTATCATTTCTGGTCATTATATATTTTTGCTGTTCTTCCGTGTATTACTGAATGCATGCAAAAGAATGTATGTAAATTAAATTAAATTAAACGGTACAAATTCTACACTGGCGGTCTTTCTCATCATTATAACACCAGCTCATCTCTCTGCTGTACGGAAACTGTATTTGACTAACCCATAAAAATGCCAAGATATTGGACTGAGCAGCAGAATATAATAAATATAGTGGAATATAATAAATATATTGGCTTTGGATAAAAGCGTCTGCTAAATGTCTAAATTAATATAACCACCACGGTAAACGGTCCTAAAGAGCCTATACGCTAATCCAAACGTCCATCATTGTCAATCAGCGTTTTCTTGAACCTCATTGGTCTATTTTATGCGCTCCTGAGCGCTGATTGGCTCCCTGACGCAGCGGCAAGCTCTGTGCGTTTGTTCAGCCCTCCGTCTTTTCGTCACCACTCATTGGATCAATGGTCCGATGCTCACAGTACGCCCGCCTCTAGCTGCCTTCTGATTGGTCATCGCAACAGCCACTCATTAAGAACGCCTATAGGAGACCGCTTACAGCCCCGCAGGCCTTTTGTCCCGCCCATTCGTTTGTCTCGCTTGTCTTCCCGCGTCTGCGCACCTCCGCCCGGCCTAGACCTCCCCGCCGTACACTTCACCCCTCCGCACGGACAGCATGTCTGAATACAGCGCGGTGCCGCCGCTCGGAGCCGGTGGACTCAAGAAAGACGCGTTCGCCGACGCGGTACAGCGCGCCCGGCAGGTGAGTGATCCGCACTGCGGAGCGAGCGGGCCGCGTTTGTGGGTCAGCGCGCAGGGCCGCGGTACATGAGCCGGCGTGCGCGACAGTTATCTGTTAGCATGAGCCGAGATCGCGTTTTTTGAACACTAACGATATCTGAGAAATATTTGTCATTACAAGCGAATGCGGTACGGAAATGGTAGCACATGGTAATTATACGATGCTTTGGTGTTTAGCGTAATTAGATTACATTCACGTAACGTTACCGTAGTAACATGTTGCTATCATTGTAAATGTCCAAAAACCTCGTTTTACCATGATATTTTTTTCCTTTGGTACCCTTACAAATAGTTCTGTGTATTTAAACATGCACAATGCTAGTACCATTGTATTATTGGGGTATTAAACATGCTAGCACCATGGTAACATGGTGAAAACAGTTAACGTTACGTGCTCAAATTGTGGCAGTTACTAGGGTACAGCAGTGGTTTTGGATAGATATACAATGGTACTTTTCATATACCATTGCTCTGATCTTTGGCCATATTTATTTACCATGTTTTTACATTGTTTTCCTAAGATATTTCAAAGAATACTATGGAAAACAATAGTGTTTGTCCAAAAACAAAAAAGTCCTGTGTAGCATTAATGGTGGTAACAAGAATTCTTAATTAGCAAATCCGCATATTATAATGATTTTTGAAGATCATGTGACACTGAAGACTGGAGGAATGATGCTGAAAATTTGATCACAGGAATAAATTACGTTTTACCATGTTCACATAGAAAAGTGTCATTTTAAATTGTAATAAAATATCACATTTTTACTGTGTTTTTGATCAAATAAATGCAGCCTTGGTGAGTGAAGAGACTCAAAAATATGAAAAAAATCTTGCTGACCCTAAACTTTTGAACAGCAGTGTATATATTGCAATGCATAATTATACAGGGAAATGTTTAATGTGACAAGCAATTAATAGTATCTCCATGCTATTTAAAAATAGTACTATATAGTATTCTTGGTTAGTGTACTAACTTCATGCTGATTTTGCTGTATAAATGTGTTTAAATTGTAATAAAATATCACTTTTTACTGTTTTTGATCAAATAAATGCAGCCTTGGTGAGTGAAGAGACTCAAAAATATGAAAAAAATCTTGCTGACCCTAAACTTTTGAACAGTAGTGTATATATTGCAATGCATAATTATACAGGGAAATGTTTAATGTGACAAGCAATTAATAGTATCTCCATGCTATTTAAAAATAGTACTATATAGTATTCTTGGTTAGTGTACTAACTTCATGCTGATTTTGCTGTATAAATGTGGTGTTTTTTTATCATAACTTGTGTTTTTGTGTTTTCCAGATTGCAGCAAAGATCGGTGGAGACGTCACCAGTCCCCCCATGAGCAATAACGGCGGAGCGGAGAGTTTTCCCTTCGCGACACAGAAGCGATCGCTGGAGCACGGAGGTACTGCGGCTCTGGATCTGTCCGTCTGACTCTCCTGAGACTGTTTTTGAGCTGTTCTTGTGTTTTTCCCTCAGATCAGCCTGAAAGTAAGAAGATGGCGTCTGACAGAGACAATGGCTCAGCCTTGTGTACGACTTTCTTGGCTTTTTTTTTTTTTACTCTTGTAAACACACACACACTCACTTTTGCAACTCAAAGCAAGTGTCTGTGTATATTTAGAGCAGTGATTTTATCCCTTTCTCATCCACAGCTATCGGAGCCCAGCTGGCTGCCCTTTCCCAGCAGAGGTAAGACGGTCCTCATGAGCGCTCTGATCAGAGCTGTTAGCGTCATCCGAGTCGTTAAAACAGATCTCAGATCTGAGTGTTGAGAAGGCAAGAATAACTACACAGGCCTGTATAATTAGGCTGGTTTCAGTTTCCACTGACTCGATCAGATGTGTTAAGCCAAATACAGGGGTCTTGAGGTGCTCTTTTAAAAGTTGGACTATTTTTTATGTGGTGTCTTCAGTATGTAATGCATGGCGGGACACTCAAAGCAGTGTGAGACGTGATGCAGTGACCAAAGATGTCTATATAAATCTATTTCTTTTTATCACATGAATTACAACAAAAAAGGGTTTCGTCCCGGCCACAAGTTGCCAAGAACTGAATGTATTTGTCTGCTGTTATTTTTCCTGACCGTTGCGTTTGTTTTTGTCTGTCTAGTGTACGTCCCTCGTCCATCACAGAGGAGTACAGAGTCCCTGACGGCATGGTTGGGCTCAGTAAGTTCACATTACCCATCATGCACTGGTCCATACTCAAGCTTTCCTGTGTGAATCTCAGTCAGGGTCATATTTCTTGCCAAATCAAAAAAAATAAAATAATACAATTTCTTATTTATTGTATGTTTTTAATTTATTACTAGTAGTGTATTAATGTAATTAAGTGTATTAATTTAATTTTTAAAAATCATATAATAAAAGAAAACGGATAGAATAGAAAAAGAATAGAGCAATCTAGTATTAGAGGCCTTTTTTGCTTTTGTTAATTGTATAATAAATAAAAAAAACTAATAGAATACAAAATGCATATTATATATTAAATTATATTAATATTTAAAAATACATATATTTAAACATTTATATTTAATGCATATGTATTTTTGTATTTTTTTAAATGTATTTTCTTGCTATATTATGTGTATTATATAATGTAATATCTTTGGTGCGTGTATATATTAATTTTTTTTATCCCTCTATATGTGTATAGTTATAACAATATTGGGTTGGGTTGGGTTGGGGGGGGGGTGCGGTTTGAAACATGCATCTGAACGTGTTCTTCTAGTAGTGTATTAATGTACATATAAATTGTATATTATTTTAAAAAGTATATGAAAGTAATCAATTTATACCATTTTTTAAAAATTATATTCTGCATTTATTAAATTACAAGTTATAATATGCAACACACATAATTAACAAGTTGTATTGTAATGAAAATATATGTTTGTTATAGTATGTTGTTAAATACATATGTATATATTATATAATTAACATTCAATAATAAAATATATATTTTATATTTAAAGATGTGTATTTCATGTATATTTGTATAACATTTAAGTTTTTTTTTTTTTTTTTATCCCTCTATATGTGTATAGTTATAACAATATTGGGTTGGGTTGGGGGGGGGGGGCGGTTTGGAACATGCATCTGAACGTGTTCTTAGAGATTCACCCTTCTGCTGGAGGTTGAGATGATAAAATTGGTTTATTACTATTATCCAGTCAGTGAGTGATGTGTTTGTGTTTGTAGTCATTGGTCGAGGTGGAGAGCAGATCAACAAGATCCAGCAGGAGTCTGGCTGTAAAGTTCAGATCGCTCCAGGTGAGTCAAACACTTTCCTCTGTTTTTGATATTTGCATGTTTAAATGTGAGGCCTGATGGACCGTGTTGATTCTGTGTGTGTTCAGACAGCGGCGGTCTTCCAGACAGGATTGTGTCTCTCACCGGCGGCCCTGAAGCCATCCAGTATGTTTGTACTTACTCGCATGTTTAACTGCACTGCGCATCTGTTTGTTGGTGTTTTGACCTTTTGACCCTGTCCATGCAGAAAGGCCAAAATGCAGCTGGATGACATCATCTCTCGGGGGCGGGGCACTCCTCCCTCCTTCCACGAGTCGACCAATGGGAGCGGCCACATGCAGGAAATGGTCATTCCAGCAGGGAAAGCAGGGCTTATCATCGGCAAAGGAGGAGAGACCATTAAACAGCTGCAGGTAGAGTTTGTCCCGTCTGTGAGGCTTTTGTCTAGAGGTTTGTGGCTGGTTTGGGCTTAAGAAATTAATACTTTTATTCAGCAGGGATGCATTAATTTGATCTAAAGCTACATTTGTAATGCTACACAAGATTTTTATTAGAGGTCGTCCGATATGGGTTTTTCACTGGCCAATGCCGATATTTAGATAACGTGCAGTGCGCCGTTTATTCAACGAAGTATAAGCCTTTTGGAAAATCTATTTGTGGCGGTCCGTCTGTTGTGACGAGCCGCCACAAATAACTCAATGTATGGGAAACACTGGACACTTCTATAAGTCAAATGGCCAAGTGATAACAAAAATAAAAGAGTTCACATATATTACACAGCCTGCTGCTCATAACTTCTTAAGAGTACACTGGCCACGAGCGATGACATCGTGGAGGCTATTGTCGGACCCACACACACATTTCATGAGGAAAGTTATCGTGCACGTTATAATCAGCCCAGAAGTTTCGTCTGAATTGCATAGGTTTCTACTTTCACATGTTATGACTTGCACTTATGAATATGATAACGTTCCAGCATCAATTCTAGTAGGGTACAACGTAATTACGCTTTCGAAATGGTCTGTGTTGCCCTGCCATCATTAGCTGAAGCTGTGTGAACAAGAAGCGGCTGCAGAGTGTGAGCTGCTCCGTCTCACGCAGCCAGAGAGAGATTCTCGGGCGTTCCGCAACCAAGCTTAGCTGCCCGCAGATGCGCCTGCCTATAAATCGGCCTAATTTGCAGCACAATCGGCCGATGCCGATTAATTAAAAAATGCCAAAAATCGGCCGATTAATCAGTCGACCTCTAATTTTTATTTCAAATAAATGCTATTCTTTTGAATTTTCTATTCATCAGTGAATCCTGGAGAAAATTGTTTTCCACAGAAATATCCTTCAGCAGAACTGTTTTCAGCGTTGATAATCAAATGTTCACTGAGCAGCAAATCAGTATATTTGAATGAATTCTGAAGGATCATGTGATGCTAATGATACTGAAAATTCAGCTTTGACAACATTTTAAAATATATTACAATAGATAAGTTATTTTAAATTGTAGTAATTCACAGTTTTACTGTGTTTTTGATTTAAAAAATGCAGCCTTAGTGAGCAGAAGAAAAAAAAAAAATTCTAATTGATCTTAAACTTATGAACTATAGTAACTATTACAGTGTTATATTGTACATTATCCACTAATTATGGAAGTGTTTTTTTTTATGAGCTTGTATTAAGGTCAGAAGCTGTAGAAACCCCTTTGTTTTTTGTTTTTTTTTTGCTTATACTTTTTTGACTACTTATTGCCTGAAATATATACGTTTTGAACATTAACAGGCAGTTTTTAGTCAGCTTCTCTCGTCCTACATATTGATGTTTGTTTCAGGAGCGAGCTGGCGTGAAGATGATTTTGATTCAGGACGCTTCTCAGGGGCCAAACATGGACAAACCTTTGCGCATCATTGGAGATCCTTACAAAGTCCAGGTGTGACCGTTTTCTCCATTTCTCTTCTCTCACCCGTTTCAGTTCCTTATTTTGTCTGTTCTTCTCTTCTGTAACCTGTTGTACCTCTAACAAGCCTGTTAAGATTTTGCCGCTCAGGGTTCGTGTCTGTCATTTCTCTCTAGCAAGCACGTGAAATGGTGCAGGAGATTCTGCGAGAGCGGGATCATCCTGGCTTCGACAGAAATGAGTACGGCTCTCAAATAGGTGGAGGAATCGAGGTGCGTGATTGGTTTAATCATTTACATTGCAGCTTGTTTGCCATTTGAAGTGTGAGTTTGATGTCGTCTCATTCTGATTGGACCAGGTGCCTGTTCCGCGTCACTCTGTGGGCGTCGTGATTGGCCGAAGCGGAGAGATGATCAAGAAGATTCAGAACGATGCCGGCGTGAGGATACAGTTTAAACCAGGTTTGTTTGGACTATCAGGTTCTGACTAAACTCATTGTTTTATGATATTATAGTGCATAACTTCATATTTCTTCTGTCTGTAGATGACGGTAGCGGTCCAGATAAGATCGCTCACGTAATGGGTCCCCCGGACCGCTGCGAACACGCCGCCAGTATCATCAACGACCTTCTGCAGAGCATCCGAGTACGAGAGGAAGGAGGAGAGGTGAGTGATGCTCAGATTATTCTGAATATATCCAATACACTTCACCTCAGAGCTTTTTTGTTTGTTTGTTTGTTTTTCACAAATTCAGTTTTATTTATTTTCGAAATTCCTCTATTTTAATTTTACATTTTAGTCATTAAAAAGCGTGTCTAATTAATTTTAAAAGTATTTATTTAAAAAGTAATAAATTTGTAGGACTAGTTTGCTTTTTTTACTAATTGTCTTACATTTTAAATTTTTCTAGGTTCTGTTTTAATGTTTAATTTTAATAATCAAAAAGCATGTTTAATCAATTGAAGTCATAAAAATTTTATATTAACTTAAAACTATTTGTAAACTAAGTTTAACTCTTACAATAATAGAGCCCTATGAAATGTTTTTTTTTCCCCCCAGAATTTCTGTTTTATTAGAAATATTGAAATGAAGAATCTTGTTTTTGTTATGATGCGAGTTGGTTGTCATTTGTTTTTCATTACTACTGTTACTAATATTTGTTTCTTTTAAAATACATCGATCTTGCCAAAAAATAGCCATAGATACTGATTTAGTAAAAACTGTACTAATAATTTTTCTGGGTGTATGATTTATACACATTTATTATATAAAAAGGCGGTGGTCAAATGAAGGAATAGAACATAACATTTTTAGAAGTAATTACTAAATGAGAATTTTCATTCAAAGTGATGCACAGCAGAGGTTTACTGATAATGTTAAACATGGAAGAAATTAAGTGGTATTTTTTAAAGTTGTAGTATTATTACTTTGAGAAGTACATTCTACTGTGCAATAGTAATATTCGTCAATTTCTTCCAGTTAAACTGAACTTATTTTGTGGGATTGTTGTGGAGACGTTGAGTTTCTGTGTGCATATATGATGGTTTTTCTTAAATGAAATGGTGAAATGCTGGTGAAGTGACTCTTAGAGCAGCTCTGGAGATGTAGTCTGTTTATCTCCTCATAAACAGGGTTTCCTTAAAGTCTTTAATTGAACAATGTAGCTTAAAGGCTGTGATTTCACTGAATAAATGATCGCTGCTTTGTTTACTGCCGTTATCGCGAAACCGCTTTGTTTCTGAGGTTCTGAAAGTGCCCCCTGCTGGCAGAGAATGAATTAGCATTTTTAAAGGGGTCATATGATGCGATTTCATTTTTTCCTTTCTCTTTGGAGTGTTACAAGCTCTTGGTGCATAAAGAAGATCTGTAAAGTTGCAAAGACTAAAGTCTCAAATCCAAAGAGATATTCTTTATAAAAGTTAAGAGTCAGCCACACCTACCTAAAACGGCTCGTTCTAACACGCCCCCACATATCTACGTCACTATGTGGGAAGATTTGCATAACGCTGCCCAAATGTTCACGCAAAGAAAGAAGGCGTAACATTTATTCTTGCTGTAGTGTTGTTGCCGCCGCCGCCATGTCGTGAAGACGCTGTGTGTTTCCTTGTGAAAGCGAAACTACTTTGTTTGGCCTTCCAAAAGAGGACAATATCCGCTTCGTCATGCCTAGAGCTGATCTGTGCTGGTAACGTACAGTATGTCGTAGGCATGCTGCAATAGACAGTGTTTTCGGTTAAGCCGCAACACTGGTTACGTCATTTGCCTACCGCGGCACCGCCCCCCACTGTCGTTTAGATTTTTTTTTATAGTAACAAAAATCATTTAGCCTAGTTCAGTTAGAGGACAGACACTTTTAAAAACTAAACGCTCAATGCAGCGTGCCGAACCGTGCGCGAACGACTGCACCACGGAGCAGGAGTCCGATTTTATTCATCACGTGAGAAGAGTGAGTCGAGCTGACTAAGAAGAGTGAGGTGAGAAAGACAAGACGATGGCAGAAGATTGTTTAGAAAGGAAATGCAAAGGCGCCTGTTTGGCAATATTTTAGATTTTGAAAAGCCTATTGACTCAAAGTTTTTTTGTTTGTTTTTTTTTTAGACATTAGTTTCTTATTTATTTGGTTCCACAGTCTTTGCTGATTACTTTATTTAAACTGTGTATTTTATTTTACATCAAGGTGTATATGCCGTGCCTCAAAGCTTTCTTATTCGTTTTGCTAATAAACTTTCTATGTTTCTTATTTATTTGGTTCCACAGTGTTTCAGTTTTATATACCTATTTAAACTTTGTGTAGCCTAAGTAATTTGTTATTTTATTAGGCATA